TGTTTCATTGACTATGCAAAAGCCTTTGACTGTGTGGACCACAACAAACTATGACAAGTTCTTAAAGAAATGGGAGTGCCTGACCACCTTATCTATCTCCTGAGAAACCTATATGTAGGACAGGAAGCAACATTTAGAACTGGATATGGAACAACTGATTGGTTCAAAATTGGGAAAGGAGTATGACAAGGCTGTATATTGTCTCCCTGCTTATTTAACTTATATGCAGAATACATCATGCAAAAGGCTGGACTGGAGGAATCCCAAACCGAAATCAAGATTGCCAGAAGAAATATTAACAACCTCAAATATGCAGATGATACCACTCTGGTGGCAGAAAGAGGACTCAATGGAAAAGACCCTGATGTTGGGAAAGTGAGAAGGCAAGAGGAGAAGCGGACGACAGACGATGTGATGGTTGGAAGCGACCAACACAAATTTGACCCAGCTCCAGGAGGCAGTGGAAGACAGAAGGGCCTGGTGTGCTCTGGTCCATGGGGTCACAAAGAGTCGGACACAACTTAATGACTAAATAATAACAACCCTATCTCCCCTCAGTCTTCTTTTCTCAAGGCTAAATATGACCAGTTCTTTCACTCTTTCCTCCTCCAAGGGCTTGATTTCCAGCCCCCTGAGCCTCCTTGTTCCCCTCCTCTGAACCTGCAAACTGCACAGTCCCAGGGCACCCCCAGAGGAAGAGAACAATAAACTACTTCTGCATATTCTCTACTGGAAAAGGGTAGCTATAAGTCAAGATTGACTTATGGCCGCATGGTTATTATTTTATTATAAAGCAAGAATACACATTTTACCGAGTAGTATCACTTACCTCATCCCATTCTAACAGGTAGCTGGTGATTTTTGAACCGTTGTCAATAGGGGCCTATATATGAAAAGAGAAGGACAGGATAGAGCTTGTTAAAAAAAAAGCTTAGAAGAATCAGATGCTCTGAAATGTGTACACCTAGAAGTTCATACGGATGTGGCACACGGAAGGTTGAATTGATCTCCGCTATGGATCCCGCTCACATATTTATGGTTGTCATTATTGTCTCTTTATTTTAAAGCAGTGTTTCCCGAAGTGCTAGTGGTTCCCGTCAGTGGAGGCATCACAGCAGGAGGAGTGGCGAGGGGTGTGGGGCAGAGCAAAGATGCCCAAAGGAGGCAGAAATGGAGCCAAAAGAGCAGCAACAGAAGGACCACCACAACTGTCAGCTTGGTGAAAAAAGAAAGAGAAGCTTTTGCATTGCTCCTGGCTGGCTTGATGGCGTACCAGGGAGCAGGGTGCTAGGCATGGCACACACTTTTGGCACCCCTGGTTTAAGAGGCTTTCCTCCCCCCTCTGATGTAAACCTGAGGCCACATTGCACCAGCTGAGAAGAAAGTCTATGAGGGAATGATCAAACCTGGACAATTTGGGCCAGTTTTAAAACAACTCATCCAAACTCTTTCAAAATTTATTATTATATAATAATATTAATATTTAAAATGAGTGGAAATGTTACAGAAACCCCTAACTTTCTGAAAGGAAAACCATAGAAAACAAAAACTGAACGCCACGACAGAGTTTGCCTCGTTTGTGAGAAGTAGGTGTTAAGAGAACAGGAGGGACTGAAAAGCCCATTGCTGGGAAAGTGAAAGAAAAGCAGATGGGGGCCTGGACCCCCTCAAATAAGCAGGCAAGCTGAAAGAAGACTTGGGGGGGGGGGGACGTACAAGGATTAACCAAGCCAATTTTATTCATTTTCCCCGTTGGCCCTACCTACCCACAGTTTTTCAATTTTAATTTCCAGCAGGATTTTCTGCAGTTCATTAATGAATGTACCTCAAACCACCTGCTCCGAATTTCTTTCCTTATGAGTCCACATGGCCGTACTCCCTCTCCTCCCCAGCTGTGAGTATCCTGAAATATTTGCTGAATAAGAATGAGCAAGTCTCAGGGCTACACATCACATGGGGCTACCTTCTCTTACCAGAAAACAGGTTTAATGCTTACTAACCCTGTGAAGAAACTTTTTAAAAAATGCATGCAATGTATGCAATATAGCTTGTACTTCTCTCTTCCTTTCCGCCTGAGCAGGAAAGAGAAATGTGTTAACAGCTCCTGTTTGTTTGGAGGAGGACAGAGCAGCCTTCCCTTATCTGCAGCAAAGGAAGAGCCTACATAAAAGAAGGAAAACTTTAAGATGGCGGCAGAGTGGAAATGTTGGTGCTTATGGGAACAAGCTTCTTCTTAGTCATAGCAGTCAGTTGTCTTATAAAAACACTCTGATAACAGACAATCAAAGAATAAGAGTAACGACAGGTTACTCACCTATAATTATAGTTCTTCAAGTGGACTTCTGGGATTCACACCCTGAGTAATCCGCACATGCGCTGAGCCTTGTCGGAATATTCTAGAGCTTCTGCGGTAGCAAAAAAACACATTAGTGTAGACTCCTCCCCTTCAGTATATGTACCTTGGCGCCAAGACTCTCCCTTCAGTTAGGTCAACCGCCACAAAAAACAAGCATGGAGGGCGTGATAGTGGGGAGGTTGGGTTTGGGATGTGTGAATCACAGAGGCCCACTCGAAGAACTACAATTACAGGTGAGTAACCTGTCGTTCTTTTTCATGGCCTCTGTGAATCACACTAACAAGCTGTCTTATCCAGAGGACGGTGTCACACCAAGATAGAGGATAACACAGCACATCCAAAGACAACATCAGATTTCTGCTGAACGTCCAATCTGTAGTGCTTGATGAATGAACCCGGACAAGACAGAGGTCTTGAGGGTGGGTGGCCCCTCCATTAGTGGCTTGGGAAACTCCCTCTCTTTTGGGGGAGAGTGACTCACCGCGAAGAGTGAGGTTTGTAGCTTAGGGATCCGACGCTCACCATGGAAACCCAGGTGGCGTCAGCGGTCCGCTCCACCTATTACCATCTGTGGCAGATTGCCCTGCTGCGTCCCTATCTTGGTGGTGGAGCCCTCACCACTCTGGTCCATGTGCTTGTAATCTCAAGATAAGACCACTGCAATGCACTCTATGTGGGGCTACCTTTGAGATTGATGTGGAAGCTTCAAATGGTGCAGAATGCGGCAGCCAGACTACTTAGTGGAGCAAGAAAATATCAGCATATCTCTCCCATTCTGGCTGCATTGCATTGGCTGCCCATTCGTTTCCACATTGATTTCAAAGCGTTGATGCTGATTTATAAAGCCCTAATGGTTTAGGACCTCGATATTTAGCAGAACGCCTTCTCCCACCTAGATCTACTTGAGTCACTCGTCATAGCCAGGAAAGACGGTTGCACAAAAGAACCTTTCTGCAGTTCCTCAGGAATCGAGTAATGGATCTGCCCAGCAATTGCTTGAAAAACAGCTACTAACATGATGCAGAACAACTGCCTCCTTGTATCGCAGAGCATCTGACTGTTAGCCATTACAGCTTCTGCAAAGGCTTTAAACCTGTCTACAGATAGTGGTGATTTTCTTTTGTCCTTGATTTCTGCAGATACTGCTGCTTGCATCCAGATATCTCCAAGAAAAATGTATTTATCAAAGCCTTTTTTCCTCCACTATTCTTCCAACAGGGTCTTCCCTTCCTGTGTTCTTTCAACCAGGGAGATTTCTGTCCTGTTACACTGCATTGGGTTATCTGGATGTCTCGTTATTGGTGAACAGCGACACCCAATGTCTCAAGAAATAAATGCAGTTTTTTTAAACATTTCATAATGTGGATGATATAGCAGTTTTAGAAACTGATAGCAGTTTTTATGCTCATTTGTCAGCATAATGAGCATAAAAATCCCTCACAATAGTCCAAAGAAAGGGGAACACAGTGAAGAAATGCTGTAGATGTTGCCACGGCCCTGGTAGAATGAGGGCAAACAGATTGTGGAGCTGGCAGTTAGCTGATAAGCCAGGTGAATGGTGAAAGCAACCCATTTAGATATCCTCTGAGAGGTCACTTGAAGATCTTTAGTAGGAAGTTGCTAGCTGACAAAAAGTCGAGCTGAACGTCTAAAGGGTTGCATGTGGTCTAAGTGGAAAGGAAGAGTCCTTCTCACATCCAAAGTATGAAGGATTTTTTCCTGAGGAGTAGATGGAGACAGGAAAAAGGACGGAAGAACCAACGGTTGTGACAGATGAAACTGGGAGACAACTTTGGGCAAAAAAGAAATATCTATAAACAGCTTGACCTTATCTGGATAAAATTGGAGAAAAGGATAATCAGATCACAAGGCTGCAAGTTTACTGCCACAATGTGCCAACGTAATAGCAATGAGGAATGTGGCTGAGAAGATCTGCCAGATTGAATGGCTACGTGTATTGCCGTGAGGCAGATATGATGGGATAAGCACCATTCCCTTAGGTCAACAGCGAGATAAAGGAGGCTTGGGGAGTGGGTGCCCCCTTCTTTGAGAATGCAATAAATCTTGGTGGTGGTGTCTGTGGTGATTTGAACCATTTTGCTGGTAAGATGGTTTCTGAAAGCCTTGCAAGCTTTTATTACTGCTAAAAGTTCCAGCTTGTTGATATGGACCAGTTTTTCTCCTTGTGACTACTGAGCATGAATTTGTAGGAATTTGCAATGAGCACCCCAGCCCGTGAGACTGGCATCGATGGTAACTTCCATTTGAGGACATGGTTGTTGGAAGGGCCGACTCATGGTAAGGTTTTGAGTAGAGCACCACCAGGAAAGCTGGGTGGTGGGTTCCGGAGTGACTCATAACAGGGCATGTGGTGGGTCTGTTATCATCTTTTTGGGGATGGTAAAATAACAAAAGAAAAAAAATCTCGGTTTGTCTGTTGTATCGGTTCTATGGCATCTTTGAGTAGTAGTGTTTGCATTTCATCTTGCAGGGCTTGTGATGGAAATGTGATGATGTGCGATGATAGAGGGAGCTGATGGAATTGTATGCGGTACCCGCTTCAAATGATGGAAAGGACCCAAGCATCTGTGGTGATGCTTTCCCATGCAGGTTAGTGTTTCCAAAGGGAAGCAGGGAAATTGTGAGAATGTGATGGGATCTTGGCCAGCTGGGCATCAAACATGATGTCTGGGCTTGTGGTCATTGTGCCTGGTTGTGGTTTGCTAGTGGGGTTTGGCTCATTAAGGTTGTTGTTTGTAGTAAGGCATGTAGGATGTTTGCCTCTGAGGTTCATGCTGGAATTTTTGGTAGGAATTGTAAGGGCAGCGCCACTGAATGTGCTGAGGGCATTGCTGTTATGTGGGCTAGACTCCCCAACATCTAACAGATGTTCTTTTCTTTTGGACATTTTCAAGGATGTAAACCGTTTCAGCATTAAAAAGACCTGCTCAGTTGAATGGGAGGTCTTCAATATGTGCATGCGCATCCTCAGCAAGGCCAGTGGTTCTGAGGAAAGTGAAATGCTGAAGTGCTACAGAGGTAGCCATTGATTTAGCTGTGGCATTGACAGTATGTCTGGCAGACAGCATTTGTTGTGTAAGAACTGAGAGCCCTTCCTGCTGGAAGGTTTGAGCCAGCACCTTTTTATCTTCAGGAAGTGCATCAATGAATGTGGGCATATTGTCCCAAAGGAAACATTGGTATGTACCTATGGCTTCCTGGTAGTTGGCAACTTTCATGGTGAAGGTGGCAGAAGGATATAGCTATCTGCCCATGGTGTTGATGTGCCTGCTATCTTTATTAGACGGTATGAGGACTTGTCCGTGTCGAGAACGGGATTGCGAAGTCTCGACAAAGATTGAATTGGGGGCTGGCTGTTTTTATAGAAAGACAGCTCCCAGGTCATGCACTCTATAAAGATTGTTGATGTGCTTTGACACAGAGTGAGATGACACTGGTTTTGTCCATGAGTGCCTAGGAGCTGCTGAGGAGAGATGGAAGCATAGAACTGTGAACTGGTGTGGTGGTATCTTTAGAGACTGGATCGTAAAGATGATCCGCTGGTTCAGTTGGGGGTCTATGGATTTGTAGATCAAGAGATTTAGCCATGCAAACCATCAGTTAGGCATAAATCTGAAAGTCCTCTGCTGGAGATAGAGGGTCTGCGTCTGCTAGATCAGAATCTGGAGATGTTAACAATATGGATGGCGTTTGAAGTCTGGAGCCCTGTTCAGACTGATCAGCCTTATGTTGTGAGTCAACTGATTGACCATCAATATCGGCATGAAGAGGCTGGGCCTTGAAATACTGGTGCCGATGCTGAGCTGTGATGTCGATGGTGTATCCATGGATAGTGGTCGGTATTGAGGTTCGTCAACCAGTATCGACATCAATGGGTTGTACATGGACAGGGGTCAATATCGAGGATCGTCGACCATTGTAAGCATCGAAGGTGTGTCCATGGACAATGGTCGATATCGAGGATCATTGATATCAGAACCATCATCCAAATGGTGATGAAACGGAGGCTGCTGTCAAGCTGACTGTCGAGGTGGTAAGCGCGTCAATGGACCACATTGTATGACAGTGGAATAAACAGATGCTGGTGACACCGAACGGTTGAAGAGTTGACTTTCTTTCTTCTTGGATAAAGACTCACAGAAGCAACATGGTGGTTGAAAGAAACCGAAGGAAGAGTCTTGGTGCCAAGGTACATATACTGAGGGGGAGGGGTGTACACTAATGTGTTTTTTTGCTACCGCAGAAGCTCTAAAATATTCTGACAAGGCTTCACGCATGTGCGGATTACCCAGGGTGTGATTCACAGAGGCCATGAAGAACTTATACTTCTCTCTCTCTCGAGTCCAATCCCATTTCTAGTCTCCAAAGGAGTAGATGCACTGAAGCAATTACTGACTGGTAGATCAATATTTGCATAAATCCCACTGATTTATTGGGTCCACTCTATTAAGTTCACCCTTAAGACTTTTACACAGCTTACCTTCCATTGCAAAGTCAGGGAGTTTTTGGTCCTGTGTGAAGGTTTGGGTGGGAAAGGGCACTCCGGAGCACAGCTGTGCGTGGTGAAGCTAACAGGTTCTGAACACGATCCCTTTACTGAATTGTACACTGCATATACCCTGAAACAGGAAACAAAAAAGCGAGATGATAAAAATGACACTGATTTGACTCCCAGAGGCATCTGTTGGGGCCACTGTGAGATACAGAAAGCTGGACTAGATGGATCCTTGGCCCGATCCAGCAGGGCTCTTCCTATGTTCTTACTGAAACGAAGCAACTGTGGAACCCTGAATGGAGGACCATTAGGATTTTTTCATGGAAATGTTAATAAGTAAGTAAATAAAATTTTATTACGCGGTCATAGACCCGATTGTACAAAGATAAAATACATAAAATAGTATAAAATCTTGCTATAGCGTTTTGCAAGTTCTCATAGCTGAAAATAAAAACCTTGCCACTAACTGTGTCATTATTTGATTCCCTCCAGTCAACAATGTTAATATTTAAAAGTTGCAACAGTAGTATGTGGCAATTGCACTGATGTGATGTGTTTGTGTATGTAAATGTAACATAATAGATTTAATATACTTTTCAACCACCAAGGTTCTCAAAGTTAAGTACATAGGAATTAAAACATCACCATTAAGCTTGCAACTAGAGATAAACACAAACTGAACCACAAACTAGAAAATATGACCCACTATACTGGTTTGTGGTTTGTTTCACGACCTAGTTCGGAGATCCGGTTTTGCCGAGGGCACCCACGGAAGTAGCAGTGGCAGCAGATGGTGGCAGTGGGACAGAAACACATAGCCTCCCTGGCAGATGAAAACAACGTACAACATAGCTGGCACTCAGAGGAGAAACGTTCCACCAAGGTACATGATCCTTTATGGTAAGTAGTGTTTTCACAGGATAGTTTAGTAGTCTGGTCGCAGAGCCAGAGGTTGGGAGTCCAATTCCACACTGTGCCTCCAGCGAGAAAAGCCAACTGCCATGGCCTTGGGCAAGATCCACTGTGCCACGGCACCGCCAGAAGAAAGGAATGGTAAACAACCTCTGTTTATTCTCTACCTAGACAACCCTGGGAAGGGTTGACATAACTCAGAATTCACTTGATGGCACACAATTATTATATTGGTTTGATAGCACAATGGTTTAGGTGTCTGGCTGTGCAGCCTAAGGGTGGGAGTTTGATTCCCCAATGTGCCTCCTGGAAGAAAGCCAGCCTATGTAGTCATGGGCAAGCTGCACAGTCCCAGAGCACCCCCAGAAGAAGGCAATAGTAAACCACTTTTGAGTATTGCCTAAATGAAAAGGGTCACCATAAGTCAGAATTTGCAATGGTGCATCATCATCATCATCATCATCATCATCATCATCGTCGTCGTCATCGTCGTCGTTGTTGTTGTTGTTGTTAAACAGTGAGCAATTGTAAGACCCACCTCAGTGCATTCTCTTATTTCCTTTCCTCTCAGTTTAGCTGTTGTTGTTGTTTAGTCATTTAGTCGTGGCCGACTCTTCGTGACCCCATGGACCAGAGCACGCCAGGCCCTCCTGTCTTCCACTGCTTCCCGGAGTTGGGTCAAATTCATGTTGGTCGCTTCAGTGATACTGTCCAACCATCTCATCCTCTGTCGTCCCCTTCTCCTCCTGCCTTCACACTTTCCCAACATCAGGGTCTTTTCCAAGGAGTCTTCTCTTCTCATGAGATGGCCAAAGTATTGGAGCCTCAGCTTCAGGATCTGTCCTTCCAGTGAGCACTCAGGGTTGATTTCTTTTAGAATGGATAGGTTTGTTCTCCTTGCAGTCCAGGGGACTCTCAAGTGCCTTCTCCAGCACCACAATTCAAAAGTATCAATTCTGTAGAGAATTTAGCTGTAGAGAAACTTTTATTTCATACTACTCCCAGATTCCACCTTGGCTGAGCTACCACCCACACTGAAATGTGACTCCAATGAATATAGAATTTGACTACAGGATTTATAAATTTTGCCATGGCAAATGTTCCGTTCTGAGCAAGTTCATTGTCACTCAACTTTAAATGAAAAAAGCCCTTCTTCCAGAATATCTGCCAGTTTTCTTGTATCTGACGGCTGGTAAGAATTAGAGAAACCAAATTTGGAAGCTTGGCTAAATAGCATATTAACAGCAGGCACATGTCAGAAGCCCAAAGCCAAGATATATCAGTTATCATCCACAGGCAACTATTCAAATTGGACAGAATTTCATGAAAATATAACTAGCACAAATCTTGTTGCATAAGTTACACATATAGAAGGGTAATCACAGTGCCAGGATGGTAGATTTTCAGTAATCAAAGGCCTTCTTCTGTCTTGTCCATTTTCTGAGGAATCCATTTCACTGACTGGACTCCATGGAACAGAAGGAGAACTCTAACTACCCGAAATCTCTGCCAAGAGATTTTAGGTAAAAACCTCCTCCTTCCATCCCAAAGTTCCCACAGCTTCCATGCAATGACAGAGATTACTCATGGGTCAGACAAAGTATGTGACAAAGTATGTGACAGAAGGAGGACGTTTTAGTTACTGAAAATCACCCTCTGCAAGTGATGTCATAACTCTTCCACAGGAATAATTTATACAAGGGGACTTTGGCTACCATGTAAAATCTTTTGGTCTCTCAGTTTCCTCAAGATGTATTGACTCATTGTAGAATTCTTTTGTAATTCCAAATTCAAATGATGGGGATATTCTACATCTGTTCTTTGCTGGCCAGAATGAAGATGATCTGTGGACAGGGGGTTCAAAAGAAGAAATCATAGATTTAGAGCACTACTTCTTATTTTTAGATATGCTGTAACTCTTAATTTCTATTGGGGTGTGAGACCAAAGTAATTAGGCTTTACTCCGGAGGAATGAATCCAGAAGGATTCTTGAATTTGGGTGATTTCCTAGTTTCTACAGCTGGTGATCCTGTTGACACCATGACTGATTTGTGGAATGGAATGATGACCTGGGTGACTGACACAACCTCTCCTAAGTATCTTCTACATGAGCGTGCGAAGCATGGGTTTCCCGTGTTTTCTGTACTGCTGGAAGAAGACTACAATGATGGGACAAATCTGAAGAACCTGGTCCCATTATGGGATGAAGGCAGTGAATACGTTCTTTGCTGCCACCACCTCTTTAGCAAAATCTTATCTTTCAGCTCTATTCAGGCAACTGAAGGGTCCTGTTATTCTAGAATCCAGCGTACTGATGAGTAACCCTCAGAAGTTATCTGTGATAAAATTCCCCAAACATTATGCAGGAAAATCAATCACAATTAAGGGTAAATTTGAGGAGGCAACTGAAGCAACTTCTTTTTGTAGAAATGGTGGAGGAATTATGTCTATGTGTTTAGCTGAATAAATAGGAAGTGAACTGTTACAATGCCACCTTGGAGAGATATAGGACACCTACATTGAGAAAGATATTATTTATTGTAAAATGTTGAAAAGCTCAGCATTTTAATCTCACACATCAGACAAATTTATATGTACTCTTCAGGATAGTTTATCCCTGTGAAAATGAAAGCCCTGGAAATACTATCAATGTTGAGAACACCTAGACCAAGGATGACATGCTGACTTTCTCTCTCTCTCTCTCTCTCTCTCTCTCTCTCTGTGTGTGTGTTTGAGTGAGTGAGTGAGTGAGTGAGTGAGTGAGTGAGTGAGAGAGAGAGAGAGAGAGAGCTATTTCTTGGGATGGTTTGAATAACACCCTCTTCCTTTAAATAGCCTCAATTTATGCTGTTTTTCCTTCTTATATATCAGATGGTTCTGTTTTAGACATAACTCAAATCTAAAAATCTAGCTGGCTGATTTTCCTGCTGAAACATGGTATTCATAATATCATCTAGTTTACATCTACTGGACACCTTTGTAAGGGTTATGTGAACATGAAAGCAAACAACACAGAGAAACACAATCTACTTTGGGATGAGACAGCATCTACTCCAGAGATGTTCATCTCCTCCTTGACCCAAATCAGCCATTGGTCACATATGTCTGTGATCTGTGGTGGCAGAGGAAAATGTGCAGCTGAAAGTTTATGGCATGCTTGGAAAAGTTATGGGGAAGTGAGATGTTCATTCCATTCTCAGTCTAGTGCATGCCTAGTGACTGGTTTGAGAATCTACCTTGCTTTCACTTGTTTCCTGTGGTGTACTGACTAGTGCATTCTAAAGTGCAGGTATTTGTCATGACGTATCCCATAGGTATAAAATTAAGGTGAGTTCAGAAATGGAGGCTGGTATGTAAATCTGTAGCAACAAATCCGTTTAAACTATCCTCATTAAAAGCCAAAAAAAGAGAGCTAATTCTGTTGCTTATACACCGCCCCATAGTGCTTCAAGCACTCTCTGGGCTGTTTACAATTTTAATAATGCATTCCACACATTCATCACCACTAGGGAAAAGTCTTCAGTAGAGTGAATGAGTCTTTATTACACACTCAAAACCAAGGCATCTCGCTGTACTTTGCATTACAATGTAGAGAAGTCTGCAATTGTACCTGTGGCTGGGGAAACCCACCCCAGCACTGTTACTATGGGACCATAGCTAAGCTCAGACTTGAATGGCAGATGACTCAATCAGATCCCAGAAATCCACTTGTGTGAGTCCTAGCTCCATAACACCACTGCCTTCTTTGGAAGCTGATACCATTTGAGGAAAGTGTCCATTTATCAGTTCATCAACACATTCATGTGCAATTATAACCTAAATCCAACTGTTAGTCTCAGCCAGAATAGACTCACTGAATCAACAGTCACTTTGAAAGTGAACACTTGTGTAAACTCCACTGGATCTACTCATTAGAACAAACAATTACATTTAGATCTTAGTGATTATCAATATTCTTAATTCTCAGTCGTGGTTCAACCACAGGTGGGACTGACATGTACTGAAAATTAGCAGCATGCTGCTCTGTCGAACAAAGCAAATGGTGTCCCACAGAGGAGAAGTGGAATGAAAGGCAGAGAAAACATACTGAAGTTTACCATTATCTAGACAACAAAAAGAAATCCATTTAAATAGATTTTTTGAAAAGGATTCTGAGCATGAGTTAACAAGAAATAATGGTCTAAAATATAAATTAAAATGTTAAAAACAGAATTGTTTCCCAATATTTGCCCGAAGCTAGAATGCAATGAAAAATAGCTGAACAAACATGTAACACCATTGGAAAAAAGTAACATGACCTAAAAAACAAAACACTCTGTTTGCATTAGATCTCTAGTTTCAATGAAACGAATAAACATATTTAACTGAACACATTTCATAACAAGAGGACAACCTTACAAAAATATACATATTAATTCAAATGTTATTCCTTAATGTTTATATGATCAGTTGTATCCGCAAGTGGTAATGTGTCAAATCCACATGCCTCCATCTGTTCTACATTTAGGTGGTGCTGGTGGGCTTGCTCATAAGCAAATATGGAGATGAGAGTTTAGAAGAAGATATAAAACATACAATGCTCTGCATGCAGATGGTGCCAGGTTCAACCCCCAGCATTTCCAAGAATGGCAGAAAAAATGGAAATCCTGTAGAGCTGCTCCCAGTCAGCGTCAACAGTACTGGGTCACATGGATCAAGAGCCTGACTCAATATAAAGCAGCTCTCTATGATCCAATGCCAATTGTTTGAGAAAATCTTTGTAGGAAATAGTTGTTGTGGGTTTTTCGGGCTCTTTGGCTGTGTTCTGAAGGTTGTTCTTCCTAACGTTTTGCCAATCTCCGTGGCCGGCATCTTCAGAGGACAGCACTCTTATGAAGATGCCGGCCACAGAGACTGGCAAAACGTTAGGAAGAACAACCTTCTATGCTACAATTCAACTAAATATTTATGGTGTCATAAATGCAGCAAATTGTGCCAACAAGCCAATGACCAAAAAGTACCTAACTGAATTCCTAGCCGTACGTTGAGGAACTGATGTGCAACAGGGAATTCAAGTATAGATTTGTTAACTATTTGCTGCTCCAACTTATGCCACTGCACTTGTGTTTGCATGAACATTCAATGGTATTTTGGCCTACAGGTACATGTCATTTAGTCATTAAGTCGTGTCTGACTCTTTGGAACCCCATGGACCAGAGCATGTCAGGCGCTTCTGTTTTCCACTGCCTCCTGGAGTTGGGTCAAATTCATGTTGGTAGCTTCAGTGACATTTTCCAGCCATCTCGTCCTCTGTCATCCCCTTTTCTTCTTGCCTTCACACTTTCCCAACATCAGGGTCTTTTACAGGGAGTTTTCTCTTCTCATGAGATGGCCAAAGTATTGGAGCCTCAGCTTCAGAATCTGTCCTTCCAGTGAGCACTCAGGGTTGATTTCCTTTAGATTAGATAGGTTTGTTCTCTTTGCAGTCCAGGGGACTCTCAAGAGCCTCCTCCAGCACCACAATTCAAAAGCGTCAATTCTTTGGCGGTCAGCCACCCTTATGGTCCAGCTCTCACTTCCATATATCGCTACTGAAAAAACCATAGCTTTGACTATGCGGACCTATGTTGGCAAGGTGAGGTCTCCGCTTTTTAAGAGGCTGTCTAGGTTTGTCATCGCTTTCCTCCCAAGAAGCAGGCGTCTTTTAATTTCGTGGCTGCTGTCACCATCTGCAGTGATCATGGAGCCCAAAGAAGTAAAATCTGTCACTGCCTCCATATCTTCCCCTTCTATTTGCCAGAAGGTGATGGGACCAGTGGCCATGATCTTAGTTTTTTTGATGCTGAGCTTCAGACCATTTTTTGCATTCTCCTCTTTCACCCTCATGATGAGGTTCTTTAATTCCTCCTCACTTTCTGCCATCCTAGTGCTATCATCTGCATATCTGAGGTTGTTGATATTTCTTCCAGCAATCTTAATTCTGGTTTGAGATTCCTCTAGTCCTGCCTTTCGCATAGGTACATAGCTGAACATAAACTGCTCATCAGCTCACACTTCTCATGCAAACCTTTTTGCTGCTGTTACTACGCTACCCTTCACTTACTCTCCTGGAGACTCACTGATTTATTCACTTCCATAGTAGAGAGAAAGGGCAAATAGTTAATAGTTACTGGTTAATAGTTACTGACTTACATCCCATTAATTGCAATGGCTCTATTATACACATGATCTAACAAACCGTCTTGAATCTAAACAAACATTCATTGTAATACAGTATGTATTCTATAGCAGCGATTTTTGTGTTACATTGCGTTTTGTATGTTTCTTGTATTCTTGGTTCTCCTGAAAAAAAGATGTAGGGATTGAGCCACTGTTGAAATTTGAGACACAGAATTATATGCTGAAAATGTTTACCATATTTCATTCTTCCTTCTCAATGCTCAGTCAAGTTAGCTTGGTACAAACTGAGAAATGTACAAGCAAATTCTTAGTGAAACTGCATTACCAGGTTTTCATAAACAGAAACAAGAAGGATATTGTCTTATCTTTATTCCATAACACACACAGCCTTTTTCTTTCACTTTAAAATCAATAATACCATAACTAATTTCAAAACAATGTAAAAACACACCCTAAAAATGCAAGCAGAGGCCACAACAGGGTTGAAGTTCTGTGAACTGTGGAAAAGCATATAATTTATCTTTCACTTTTAGTCAGAGAAAAAGAGAACGCTCTCAGCGTTTCTGTATATTACAGTTAATGGCCAAATACGATTTGTGTTAATCACATGTGGCAATCCCAGATCCATTTTGCATTTATTTGAAAAAGCAGAGATACACAGGTAAACATGGAAATGCAGTTGTCTGTGTTTAAATTCATATGTCTGGAACATGAGAAAATGTATACCTTCAGCAGTTCACAAAATGAACATAGCTTGCCAATTTTCTTAAGCACTGGCTTCCATCATGTTTGGACATCCGCTGTAGCATATATAACTGAATTGATTAAAATGATGAACACTTCTCAATGATTGTAGCTTACCTAACGTAATATTCTGTTGCTGGCCTAAGGTCTTTCAGTTTATATTCCAATTCTTCTCCACTGGAAAAGAAAACAAAGCGCAACAAAGCAGTGTCAAGTTAAATGGATATTCCAAAATCCAACACATAGTCCCAACTACAGTAGATTTGTTGGATCAATGGTAGAATAGTAAATTAACCTTTATATAATTCCTATTAATTCAATGGGTCTGCAATAGTTTGTGGTTCCTACTAGATTCAAGTCATATACTGTATATTCTACCTAAAGATCATACAAATCAACAACAATGTTTTAGAAAGACAGCCAGTAGTTTCAAGACTTGCAAAATATCAATTAAAGACTACAGTCAGTATCCTATTGCTAGTCTCAACTAAGAATACGTCCACTGAATCAACTGATGAACAGTAAATCAACACTTACTGTAAATTCCATTCAGACAATAGTCTACCTTAGTTCAATATAAATAAGATTAAAGAAAACCTGTATCCATTTGGATTTTATCAAGTGTAGCACTGAAGATATAGAAGTGACTGCAGCTATTCAGCAAACGTCCAGTCATATTGGCCACATGCTTGGTCACACAACTGCCACTTTGCTAAATAGGCTCTCTGTTACTTCAATATTCACATGATAAAGCCCAGGACAATAATAGCCAAAGCATTCTAGAGCATCTCTGAGAATCCAGCCATCTTTCCTTAGATAGGCAACATTTATTTGTCCAAGTTAATTAACAGCTTGGCTTAAAACAAAGTTTGCCTGTCAGGAGAAGGACAAGAGAGAGGAAGCCAACATGGCTTCCTAGAAAGTGCATCCTACAACCTAGGAGCAGTTCTTGAAAAATCTTTCTCTCACATCAACCCCCAAAAAGCCTGTGTGAATGGAGGCATCAAGAAAAGGGCCTCCCCCAGAAGATCTTAAAAGCTATGGAGGCTCATATGATACAAAATTGTCCACTAACATATTCATAAGTGCAGCCTGCATTACAGGTGTCAACCTTAGTGTGCCCAGCCACAGCACTTGGAAGTGGTTGTGTGAAGCAGACAGTATGTAAGATATAGCAGAATTTCTCTTGCACGTGGCAGAAGCAGGCAGGAATTTCTCATGAAGAGAAACCCTGTATGTCTCTAGCCCTCTTATGAAAAAATAGGTGACATCCGAAGAAATAAGTGCTCTCAGATGCAAGACGATTTCATAAATGTTGCAGACAGCACAGTAGTCAACCTGGCATGTCCCCAATATTCTAGTCTGGCAGTCTCAGGGGTATGTATATATCTGTTTAGCAGATTAACTTTTCCAGCTGGTGAACACTACGGAAAAGGCTGCTGGAAGGAGAGATCAGAAGGAGGAGGAAATGGCAAAGTAAGTATAAATGTGACTGTGTAAGAAAGAATGTGTTCAACTCTGGAAAAGCAAGGACAGTCATTTTTCTTTACACTTCAGATTTTGAAATATATGTATGAAACAGCAAAACACACACACACACAATGATCTACCTGTAAATCATTTTGTACTTTCCATCCCTCCCTTTGTCTGATAAGGCAACTTCGTAAGTACAGGTATAAGGCAAACCATTGCTGTGTCTCTCCCCACTTAAAAGGCCATTTGGAGGTGACCACGTGAGCAGAACTGTTCTTGCTTGAATATTCGAAACCTTAGAAGAGAAAAATAAGGTTTTTTTTTCCTGTTAATATCAAGATGCATACTGGAATTTAAATGTACAGATATGTGTCCAGGAGAAACGTACATATAGACAAAACACATCACCCATATGACCGCAGCACTCTTTTCCTTGAAGGGAAAAGAAAGCCCACAGGTACTGGATTCTAAGGCAAGTATATTGACCCTATTAATTTCAGAATATTTATGGAAGCAAACTTCCCTGTATTACAGCCAATCTCAGCTAATTTTAGAAGCAAAGCCAAGTTGGGCCTGGTTAGCACTTGAACAGAAGACCAGTAGAGACTAGCAGAGACATCTGAGTAAGTTAGATATAAATCCCCTCTAAATCACTGGAGAATTTCTGCCACTCAGAGCTGACAGTGCTGCTCTTAGAGGGACCTCAGAGTCTGCCTCAGGGTTAAGGCAACTTCTTTTGTTCATCCTTACTCCTTACAATTACAGAAACTTTGTTCTCCTGAAAAGCCTCTCTGAAGCACCAGGGAGCCCCCAGAAATTATACGAGATGCAATACATAGAAATAGTACGAGATGCAATATATAGGAGGACTATTGAGATGAGTATAACCTCCAGTGAGGCACAGGGAAACTTTCTTTGGGTGACCTTCTACACATCTTTGGATCCAAGTCATTCTATTTAAAGGGAAAAAACATCTGGAGAAGAGAGAGAAAAGCCTGAATGGTGCACTTAAAACATATGGCCAATAAAAGCAGTGGAGACAATAGTGGCATTAAACGGTGGAGTCTCAAAAACACCTCATGATTTTTTAGAAGTTCAAATTGGCTCAGTGTAGGAATGTGGCAGAGTTCTTCTGCCTCCACCGGAATCCAATCCAACATCCAGGGCTCTGATGGCCCAGAAGTGCTTTCAAAATATACCCAAAGCCTGATGCATTCCAGCAGGCATTGTGCTCTTTTCTGGAAACAAACATAGAGGCTAAACGTAGCACTGTGCAGAGACTGAGCACTTTGTCCCATTCTTGGCCTGTCCTACAGTGCTGATTACGGCTCACAAAGCCTTATACAAATATCTGAAGGATTGCATCTCTTCATATGCATCTCTCTGGATGTTAAGATCATTATACAAGCTCTTGTTCTGGCCAGTGCCATAAGCATATGTAATGAGGACACAAAAGGGCTTTTTGGTGGCCAACAGGAACCACTCCAGCTGTCACTGTGTTTATTTCAGATACATTTAAGATTTAAAATGAATGTCATATACTATATATTTTCACATATTTTTCCTATGATTTTAATCTTAACATTTTCTTCAGTTTACCTATGCTTACCTACAAAATGTATGCATCTCATGGAGTTAATGAGTGCATCTGAAAGGATATGGCATGATGCATTTGTTAGCTTCTAACAAGCTTGCAAACTTGGTTTTGCTGCAACAGATTAAAATGGCTATTTTTCTATAAATACAGAAACTCCACAATATAATCTACAGTGGGGTCTTGACTTGAGAATAGAAACTCCACAATATAATCTATATTTTACAGCAGGGCTCCCCAAACCCAGGTCCATGGCCCATTGACGGTCCATGGCCTTCACAGGACCAGGTCGCAGACAGATCTCCCGCCCACATACACGCACAGGTGGCCTGCCCACGCATGTAAGCATGCCCCACTCACCCATGAATGTGCCCCGCTCACCACACATGTGCGCAAGTGCGCCATGCCCCCCCTGTGCACAGACCCCACCCCCCAACAGGTCCGTGGTTCGCAAAAGGTTGGGGACCACTGCTCTACAGCAGATCATGCAGTAACTATCATCAGTTTTTCTAGAGGCCATGGCACTTTGACTTGAAACAAGAACGTCTCCAGATTTCACTATATTTGTTACCACTGTTCTGATGCAGTAAAATATACTGATAGCAATACTAATCCTTGCCTCCAAACATGCTAAGTTACTACACTTTTTTTATGCACGCCTGGACTCATAGCAGAATCCATTCTAGAACACAAGCAAAGGCCAGTGGTAAGTACTTAAGTCAAGTCAATATTTTCCTATGAGAGCGGTTCTTAAGTCAAAATGTTCTTAACTCAAGCCGTTCTTAAGTCAAGACCCCACTGTATATTTTACAGCAGGGCTCCCCAAACCCAGGTCCATGGCCCATTGACGGTCCATAGCCTTCACAGGACCGGATCACAGACAGATCTCCCAGCCACGCACACCCAGATACACGCACAGCTGGCCTGCCCACACATGTAAGCATGCCCCATGAATGTGCACTGCTCACCACACATGTGCGCAAGTGTGCCATGCCCCCCCGTGCACAGATCCCACCCCCCAACAGGTCCGCAGTTCGCAAAAGGTTGGGGACCACTGCTCTACAGCAGATCATGCAGTAACTATCATCAGCTTTTCCAGAGGCCATGGAGCTTTGACTTGAAAAAAGAACGTCTCCAGATTTCACTATATTTGTTACCACTGTTCTGATGCAGTAAAATATACTGATAGCAATACTAATCCTTACCTCCAAACATGCCAAGTTACTACACTTTTTTTAATGCACGCCTGGACTCATAGCAGAATCCATTCTAGAGCGAAAGCAAAGGCCAGTGGAATCATTTTGTACTTCACCTTAAACGTCTGCCTTAAAACTAAATAGTTCCACCAGCCCAACTCTACACTTACATAGCTGAGGGTGAAATCAAATATGGAGGAAAAGAAAGATATGCATTTCAAAGTCCCTGGTTTGCTCATTAACTGTTTTGTCGGGATTCAGTATCTACTTCTTCTTCACCATCATCATCGTCATTACCAGTATAGTAACAACAACAATAATTTATTTTCAAATCAGATCTGATTACCAAGGTTTTCTAGGCAAAGAATACTTAAAAGTGGCTTACCACTCCCTACTACAGGGCCCTTTGGTATTGTGCGGCTTGCTGTCCCCAAGGCTACACAGGCTGGCTCTCACTGCCACCACCACACCCCAGAATAAACCCTACCCATAGCTGCTAATAAGTTGAAAGAGAAGAAGGTGGGCAACACGTACAGATACTGTGCCAACACTGTAGTCTCACACATCATGACTAGTTGGGACCCTGATAAGAAGCACGCATATTTTGTGTCAAGCTGAAATCCTGAAAAATCTTTCAAAGAGACCAGAAGCAATTATTTGCAAGTACAGCTAAATCTCATCCATACCAAAATGTCTATAATGCTGAGATTGTTCAGAAATTACTTTCAGAACAGAAACAATTACAGAGGTGTAGGTGAAGTGTATCATGTGAAAGAAGATTTCATGTAGCATTAACATTTTTCTCAGCTTATGAAAAACGAGAGATTGCTTTGAAAATCTGGACTGATTAAAACTGGCATCATATTAAGTCTCTAGCAAAAGCTCCTCAAAATCAGACAGTGCAATTAAAATGCCTCAGGTATCCTAATGGGACGAAATGGTAGCCAAGAATAAAGATGTTTACAGTTGAGAAAACAACATGCCATATCTTATATCAATTACACATTTTAAGTTAAAAGAAATGAAGAAAAGAAGGAAGACATTCATTCATAGTAGATTTTGGGGGGGAGAGATATAAACTACTAACTATAAAGAGAGGGTTTCCTCCCCCACAAATGCTTTTATTATGGACACATAGTTGCATAACTGTTTTGCATAAAATCAGTCTGAGACTTGGAACTTAATGTACTACATCCAGCCAATGTTCTATTGGAATGGTTTCCTTTCTTTACGATTATTACCGAGGACACACGTACCAATGTCAAACATATGGCTAAACACTACAATGAAAGATTTTATCCTTTTATGAACTTTAATCGGTCCTAAAATCTAAAAAGTACAATGAATAATGATTCTTACTGGAAGGTCTTGGAAACTAGGAAGAAGAGCAATAATATCACAAATGAAAGAAGAAGTCATTTATACTATTCCTCTTTCTAGAACAGTGGTTCCTAATCTTAGGTAACCCAGGTGTTTTTGGACTGCAATTGTTCTACCAGGGCTTCTGGGATTTGAAGTCCAAGAACATTTGGGTTAGCCAAGGTTGGGGGCCACTGTTCCAGATGATGAAAATTCTATTTATTGATATGGGTGTAACTGTGTGGGATTTTTCCCACGGTTTGGGGATGGGCTAGTTTGTTCATTTTCCAGCAACTGCACAATGTAATTGCCAGCAAAAACCAGGGAGTTCCCACTCATACCTTCTGGCTTCATGTTGGGGCTACTGTTTTTAAAGTGCAGGTAAGATGTGTGTGAGCGCTGGGATCTGTCGCTTTGCTGAAATCACCTAACGACCTTCAGAAATGGGAAGCTTCCCTGCCATTTGCCTTGGGGGGGCAAGGGAGAGAAACTTTTGAATTTTTTAAAAAGTTGCTCCTAATGCATCAACAATGCTTTGAAAAGGTTTTTTCTTTCTTTTCTTTTCCAAAAGCTCTCTCAAAGTATTGCTGATGCACTTTGTCAGTCTGGATCAATGCAAGACTTCCTCTCCCTTTTTCTCCAAAGGTGAGTGACAAGGAAGACATTAATTTCTCAAGTTCATTAAGTAGCTTCCTCCTCCATGTTTGGCTGAAACAATCAGGAGAACTCGGAACCTTTCTCTTTAAAGGGAAAGAGATCCTGATCATGATAAGCAGGTTTGCTTGAGGTGTGGTGTCATCCATATGCGTTGCCTCTGACTGATTTTTGGCATCACCTGGCAGGACAAAGTTCCAAACAGAGTAGTCCTAGAACGAGCTGGTATATTCAGCATATATACATTACTGAAACAGCGATGTCTACGTTGGCTTGGGCACGTCGTGAGAATGGCTGATGGTCGGATGCCAAAGGATCACCTGTATGGAAAATTAGTGCAGGGAAATCGCCCCAGAGGGAGACCACAGCTGCGATACAAGGATATCTGCAAGCGGGATCTGAAGGCCTTAGGAATAGACCTCAACTGATGGGAAACCCTGACATCTGACCATTCAGCCTGGAGGCAGGCAGTGCATCACGGCCTTTCCCAATTTGAAGAGACCCTTGCCCAGCAGGTGGAGGCAAAGAGGAAGTCACAAAAACAGCAAAACCAGGGAGCTGGACAGGGGACAGATTGGATTTGTCTTCAGTGTGGAAGGGATTGTCACTCTCGAATTGGCCTCTTCAGCCACACTAGACGCTGTTCCAAGTCCTCCATACAGAGCACGTCACCATAGTCTTTTGAGACTGAAGGATGCCTAACTAAGGTGTCATCAATCACTGCATGCCCCAAATGGAACGCCTTATCTCAAAATGACCTTGTTAAGCACAATATACACAATTCAGGCTGGGATGATTCAATTGTCTTGTCACTCCCTGAGTCCCATCCCAGGAAGTGCCGGGTTTAAACAAAGAAGTAACAAACATGTAATATGAACTTTGTCTGGATGGGTTGAATAATATTACGTAAATTAATACTGTTGCTGTTGTTGTTAGTTAAGTATATACTTAGCCTTTTATGAGTAAGGTTTGAAAGAGCCTTGATGAACTAAATTTATTGGATTGGCATTTCTTTCCATTGATAATTTTATTTTCTAAAAGGCTGAAGTGGGTCCTTATAGCTTATGTTGGAAGGATTTCTTATAAATATGATAATAGAATTACTCTTATTTAAATTCTTTCGATTCAATTTTTTGAGTGCTGCTTTGTTATGTTTTGCCATTCAAAAACTGGAAGCACGATGCAGTGAGCATATGCCACAAGTTACAATTTACTCCTCATAATCTGTTCCAAGGAATTCTTTCCCTTTGTGTACACTTCACTTTTCCCACAAAATCCCAATGAAATAAATAAAAGCCATACTATTGTATAATTCAGAACCGTTTCTATGAAGCCTGGATTCTAAGTAGATTACCATATATCTGCATCATTTTACAAGTGCCTCACTATCTTTTATGTTTAAGGTAGAGATTGTGGCCAGTCAGATATGTCACTGGACTGCAACTGACATCAGCCGGCACACCAAGAGTGAGGGACAATGCAGGTTGCAAACCAGACGTTGCCCATGCCTGATTTAGTCAAAGGTTTTAATCATTCACACATGTAGTTACATCAATAATGAGAAAAATGTGGTAGGCTGACAACATGTAACCCCTCTGGGGCTCCCACTGCTACTTCCAAACCTTCTCCATGCACATAAACTTTTCTTTAAAAAATTATTTCATGCTGGTTTGCAAAATGGTCACTTTAGCCCTAAGATGGCGCTATTAGTCACTGGAAAGCGGGGGAGGGGAGGGCTTCAAATGGCTAGTTGTACCTTCTAGGAACTGTATTAACTATTTCAGGTCATTTCTGCATCTCATTCATAATATAGTTCCATAGGGCCTTTTTCTAAAAAGCAGAAGTGACTGACTGGTTAAATCCACTTCAGAAAACAAGTTTAGCTTACTTTTATGGGAAACAAGAAAATTTTATTTATTTATTATTTGCTTAATTTAAAATATTTTTACCCTAATTTTCTTTTTAAATGAGCTGAAGGTAGTTTCATGCCTTTCATGAAATAATGCCAACACACACATGAGCTTAACTCAAGACAGGACCAACGTAGTAAGGTATTCTTGGCATTCAGGTCATAATAAAGGCTTAAAAAATTATTTTTTTAATGTTGGATTTACCCTTTAAAGTATCCATGTACTTTGGAAATATAAAACATTATTTAAATAGGCTTTTGATGTTTAAAATAGATTTCATGGTCAATTTGGTAAATTGCTCAGAACGCAATGGGGTGAGTGTGAGTAGGATATAATTTCTAATGAACACAGCAAAGATGGACAATATTATTACTGTCCTATTACGCATGACTAGTGCCTCCGCCAAGAGTCTCTGTCTAGGCTTTCACTGATGCTACAGGACTGATTAATTGCACAAGAAATTTCATTGTTTTATATGGTTGCAAATTACACAGATTTTAGTTCCTCATACTCAACGTGCTAGCCTATAGTGAAGAAGAGCAAGGGAACCTCTGGACTGCAGGGCAGATACAGCCCATATGGTCTTCAAGCTCTCTCTGCTATCACCTCTAATTAGTGATCAGACATGATATGACATGAAGGCCAGGAAGCCATTGCAAGGAAGTCATTATATCATACAAACAAATAGAATGCAGGACTAGATCAGCCTTTGGTCTGATCCAGTATGGTCCTCCTTAAATGTTTCTCCTTCTGCTTCTCTTGGTTAAGGCTTTTTAAGCAAAATGCTAAGTTAAACTCTGTACTACTATTTGTACAAAAGCACTAATGATTATACGGTGGCGATGACTCTTGCATTTAGATTGTACACATCAAATGTAAGATGGCAATATAAAGTTACAACTGATGGGAATTCTGAGCAGCCACATTGCTTACATATGGGATGAAGTCACAAGTAAAGTATGCAGGTCAACTGCAAATACATGCCAGCAAACCTTCCTACCAGACAGCTACGTTACATAATCTCCGAGTGCCACACATGTGAAAGGAAACCTAGGAATAATATCCAAAGAATGTTGCTGAGAGCATTTTATATGTTTATGAGGACTATTTTTTGCATATCCAGTTGTTTCAAAAAGCTAAACGACTAATGGTTTAATTGTATGAGCTGCAGGAGCAAATAAATGTGGAAGATAAGGAGCCGCAGCTATGCCTAAGCAGTACCATGGCTGTAATCCTCAAAAGGCCCAGAGAGGGCAGAAGATAAGTGCAGACATGCTTCAGACATAGGTATTTGCTCTACTTGGGACTAAATTTATTTATTTATTTACTTATTTGTCTACAATATTTATATGCTCTTTGACTGACAACGCCTTCACACATTTTAAATAAAAACAAGTTAATGGGCTCAAGCGTGATGTTAAAATATTGACTCAAGATGTTGAAATAGTGGAATGTCAGGATATTAAGATGTGGTTAAGAGCCCCCTTCTTTAAGCAGACCTACCATGTGCCATAAACCCTTGCTCAAGAGCACTTGGGAATCCTCTAAAACAGGTTTCTGGCACAGCCAAATGGGTACAGGGGGAAAGGAAAAGAAAGTCCAGATGATACTGAGGGTGTAGCGCTACTAAGTGTAGATTTGGGGATAGTGCTCTATAAGGGTACCTGAGTACAGTGGTTAGACCCCCCAAGAACTTGTCAGGATATTGTAATTTTGTAGGCCTGAACCTGGATTAAATATGATATTAATCAGCTTCCATAATGAACAGATGTGTGACTGCTGAGTCACTCCCCCAAAGTGACCAGCTACTGTCATTCCTACCCTTCGATCACGAGGCAGGGAAGAGGATGGTGCAGGCCTGTTTTAAAAAACTCGCATTGAGCCAGGCCTGCCCATCCTCTCGCGAGGCTTCTGCCTGTCGCTCTTCAAGCGGGCAGGCAAAGAATCCCTGTCCAGGCAGCTCCGCACCTTTGCGGAGCACCGTTATGTGTTTGTTTATTTATAACTCATCAACTGTCTTCTGCCCATCCAAGTCCTCCAAACAATATACAATGAATGTTCTATTTAAATATAGACATTAGATTCATATGATATTTATAAATATTAAAACTTTCTTTAGAAATAGATTAGTGGTACTTTTTAAAAGCCACAGGTCATACACAATAACATAATTTTAGTCACTGGAAACTCAATACGGAGGGAACCTGAGAGTTCCCCAATCAAAAAAGCTGGTACAGAGAATGCCTTGTCTCATACAGGCGGACCAACCTAGCTTCTGGAGGTGGTGACAGATGGAACAGGCTCTTAACTGGAAATGTCAAATCTGGGGCAGGCTTCTATGACAGGAGGCAGTCTTTCACAAGCCCCAATAAAAGTAATATACATGTATCCGTACATTATCATATAAAATAAATGAATAAATAGCCCTACCCATTACATACCTGTGGTTTCTCCATTCCAGAAAGAACATCTTGAACCCTTTTTGTTTCTGTATCACACTCTGTCCAAAAAAAAGAAGGGGGGGGGAGAAAGACAATAAAAAATCACAGTTACCTTCAATAATAAAGAGTGCAAAACAAATGCCGGATTCTCCTGCAAAAGTTTGTTTTTGTCTAGTTCATAATCCTGGCATTTTAACGTTTTAACAAATGCCTGGGATAAGACATTGGTTACATGCTTAATCTTTTGGCCTCCTTCTGCATTTTAGTGGCCAATTTCTCCCCTCCCCCTTCATCTGGGGAGGCTGGGGACCATTCAAAACATGGCACAACTGACCCCTCATGTCCCCTAGGAGTTTTTGAGCCAACTCTTTTCAAAATGTTTTTCCAGGAGGTAGGGAAGCTGGGAGGTCCCTGTAGTGCCGAGGGAGTATTTAGGCACCCACGGGCCTGCATACGGCCCACTAGGCACATGTTGGCCACTCTTGGCTTACAGTGAATGGCAATAATTCTCGTTCTTTCTTTCTTTTTTTCTTTCTTTTCACAGCTCTTTTAGGAGCTCTTCTCAGGTTCCAGGGCCCCCTGGCAAACAAGGGAAGTCTTTCGTAGTGTGGAAACAAGGATACAACACAAACAGCTGAATCTGTGGCCTCCTTCAGATGTGTTGGGGCCCCACAGGTGGGCCATTATGGCTTCTGTGGAGATGCTTGGCAGTGAACTTGGCACCTTTAGCATATAAACCTTCTGCTCTACTCTGTAAGGAATTGCCTCTTGTCTAACTAGTGAACCAAAAGCTTTGACAGTAGATTGTACATACAGTATAACCAAGGCAGTGACTGAAATGGAATCTGAACACAGGTCTATCAAGTCTGTATTTAACCTGTCATATAAGGGGTTTCAAATAACTTAGCTTTATGTCTTATCTTTAAGAGACACAGCCACTTTTACCAGCTGTGCCCATCTTTAAAATGATCTCATACCTTGATGACTGTATCATGTAATTTAAAGGTGAAAACTTCAAAACAGTAATCCATAATTAGGCAATTTGATCTACTAATCATAGAATAATATCAGTTTGCTTGAGCAATTTAAATACATATCTGATTGCACTTAAGTTTTCCCTTTTGTTTTTCTTCCAGCTTGGCCTCAGTGCTGGGGTATGAGCAATTTTACACTCGCACGGAAGAAAATTTGCAAATGAAGAATGGTGAGGAATAGCTTTCTAGTACAAAAGATGTACAGTGGTGCCCCGCTTGACGATTACCTCATTAGACGAGGAAATCGCTTAATGATGAAGTTTTTAATGGGAAAGATTGCTTCACGATTATCAGTTCCCTGCTTCAGGAATCAATTTTTCGCTTTACAATGATCAGAAAACAGCTGATTGTTGGGTTTCAAAATGGCCACCCGCTGTTTAAAATGGCTCCCCGCTGTGCTTAGGACGGATTCCTCACATTACAGGCACCAGAAAATGGCCGCCCTATGGAGGATCTTCGCTGGACGCTGAGGTATTTTGCCCATTCAAATGCATTGAGTGGTTTTCAATGCGTTTCAATGGGCTTTTTCAATTCGCTTGACGAGGATTTTGCTTAACAGCGATTTTACCGGAACGGATTATCCTTGTCAAGCGAGGCACCACTGTACTAGTATGCTGTTCACACTTCTGCTTTGTTCATGAATGGCTATTGAGTTGGTTGGCTTTTAACATTTCCTATCCAAGCTGAATCCAGTTCTAAGCAAATGAAACAACTCTGATCTGGCAACCCGAGGGTTCAACACATGTTGGCTATGGTGAAAATAACTTGCTCATTGCAGGCGTAGTTTAGCACAGGGTGGAAAATACAAAACCTGTCCTAAAGTGCAGCGATCACATAAAACAGCCTTAAAAATATATATTCAACAGTTACCTAATACCGAAGAAGAACAAACTTGAGTGTAATTTCCTGACAACTCCAAGCCTGGGTTCAAACCCCTAGGTTTCAATACCACATCAAAAAAATCTTACAGGCCATTTTAAAGTCATTGTTATTTTAAGCAACCCAAACTCATCCATCAACATGAATATTTGTACAGTATTTTAGAGCTTTCATTGCAAAGTATCGGTCCTCTTGGAATACATTCCTTACTATGCCAAGACAACATTATTCACGTAAGTGAGACACGCATGCATGAATAATGTCTATACAGTATCAAGACTTCAAAACCCACAAACCATTGCAACCATTAAGCCAAACACACAACTGGAGACCTTTTATTGACAGTTATTTAAAGCCCCACTATAGAAGGCAACCCAGATGAAATTAGTTAGAGTAAGCTGGATTTGCCCCAGAAAAACAAAAATGAAAACAATGCTCATGGTTTTGCATTTGTCAAATCAATATCACATTCAGTGTTGTCATTCTAACTATTATAAAGATAGACCCAAACAAAATCCAGTTCATACTCTATGCTGGCTCACTACCAGAGCCCCTCTCTCCTCCTACACTAACAATATCTATTTGGGAATTTTATTAAAAACATATTTAATAGTTACAGTGCAAATATTTGGGGCCGCTAAGAGTGCCTTTTAAGCCACAGTCAACATAACTTAAATTGCTACCTAATGGACCTAACACAGCTTCTATATTTTTGAGGAGGGGGGGAGGGTTTGAGGGAATTAGATATCCCTCCTTTACTATAGCTATTCTTTTGTAGTTATTACATCACCTTAGCTGCCAGAAGCTGCAGCTGAATCATTCTTGACCTTTAATCCTTAACATGTGGACCCGATTTTCCTTCTTTAGATTACTTTATAGCAAGGATTCCGGTCACACTCAGTAATGAGATGAGATAAAAATAAAACCACAAAGTTCAATGAAATTTCATTTCCCTCTCCATGTGGAAAAAGTGACAAGTTTTCCACAGTAACTAACCTTTGCTTTGACCCTTTTCGTGTCAACTATGACTAGTATACTCCAGCTTAGAAACGGGATAAGAATAATAAGATATGGGGACTATAAAATAAATATAGTGCGGTAATATCAGAACTTTAAGGGGAGAAAAAGCAGAATTCTAAATATACTAACCAGCAGGGAATTACAGAATCTTGTAACAACTTTTCCCTGATATACATCCCTCCATCTGGGCCCCCTAGCATGATTTATCAGGGCCTGATATAAGCCTGTAACATCGGCCTGTTTCTTTAACTCTGTCTAACTGGTATTTACAGCCAGATGTGATGACAGGATATGCATACATACATTACTTTGTTGTTATTTAGTCGTTACATTAATTAAAAGGTAAAGGTTCCCCTTGACATTTAGTCCAGTCATGTCTGACTCTACAGTACGGAGCTCATCTCCATTTCCAAGCCAAAGAGCCAGCATTTGTCCGAAGATAGTTTCCGTGGTCACGTGGCCAGCGCGACTAGACACAGAACGCTGTTACCGTCACACCGAGGTGGTACCTATTTATCTACTCATATTTTTACATGCTTTTGAACTGCTACATTACTTAGAGTGTTACATTACTTGCAGTGTTAACTGACACATGCTCTTTAGACATTATGCCTTTCCTCTGGAAACAAGTGACTGTTTAGATATCGTGTTTTCCCCCATAAACTTTTATCACCTAGAGTGCCAGTTCTTCTTTATACCTAGGAAGCAAAGGTCTGACTCACATGTGTCCCATGGACTATAAAAATCCTAACCACACTGGCTCCAGCTGTCTCTTCCGGCCCCACTGTCCCTGACTATAATCAGAGATGGGGAAAATAACTATGACCGTACTTACCTCTCTCCCCTGCCACCAGTCAAAGGGCACATCTAGCTGGTTAAAACCCAATTAAAAACATGGCTTTACATCCAGGCCTTCCCTCCTGCCAGCATTTAACTTCCTTTCTCTTGGCTATCTATCATTTATCATCTTTTGGAATGTTTTGTTACTAATGATGTCAAAGATTTATATTATTTTAATTCTATATATGTTTGCTGTTAGCCGCCCAGAGTGGTAGAATATACTAGATGGGTGGGATATAAATCAAATAAATAAATAAATAAATAAAAATTCCTTCTGCTCAAGGGAAACCCTTGGTAAACAAAGAACTGTGGGCAGGGCATGTTCTCTTCTGTCTTGTAGAGGTACAAGCTAAATAAATTTGCACTGACATATCCGATCACCTACAACAGTGGTTCTTAACCTTTGTTACTCGGATGCTTTTGAACTGCAACTCCCAGAAACCCCAGTCAGGAACAAGCTAAATAAATTTGCACTGACATATCTGATCACCTACAACAAGGAATGTGTGTTGCTCTATATACTGCTGGACTGCAGCTCCCAACCAGCTCTAGCTAGCAGAGCCGAAGGTTAAGAACGACAATGAATATTGCAATGTGGAGTGCAGTGCAGTAACACTTGGCAGAGAACACGTTCCCTAATCCTAACCTAGAAATTTGCTTCAGTTTTTATTTCCTGCTAATAGATTTTAGGTCGGGCCTGATCCAAGACATTTCTGTGCCTAAAGAGAAGGCCAGGATGGTACCCCACTGCCTACTTGAGACATTCATCTTAATCTCCCCACATATTTCCTTCCTATGTCATGTGTATTATGTGGCCTGCTCTCCACCCTATCAGCTAGATTGCTACCCTCTGGTGAAGGATGGTATCTTACTACCATTGTTGGTGTAATTTGCCAATCTGGCTGGCTTCTAGGTATGCAGAGGAGATAAATCTAGAGGGCAGGAGAAATGAGCTGGGAGCATTGTCACATCTATTCTCTTCCACAACCCCGTCATGCAACATCTGAAGCATAGAATCATATAATCACTGAAGGAGCCTATAACGCCATCGAGTCCAACCTCCTGCTCAATAAAGGAATCCAAATCAAAGCGGATCTGACAGATGGTTATCCAATTTTCTCTTGGACGCCTCCAGCACTGGAGCACTTACCACCTCCCGAGGCAATCGGCTGCATTGTCATACTGCTCTAACAGTTAAGAGGTTTTTCCTGATATTCAGCCTAAATCTGACTTCCTGTAGCTTGAGCCTATTTTTATGCACCCTGCACTCTGGGGTGATAAAGAAT